GAGAATGAGAGACAGCACAAGAGGGAAGAGGGTCAGAGGGAGAAGCAGACCCCCAGCTGAGCAGGGAGCCCGATGCGGGACTCGATCCCGGGACTCCAGGATCATGACCTGAGCTGAAGGCAGTCGCTTAACCAACTGAGCCACCCAGGCGCCCGCTTGGTGCATATTGTTATACATTGATGTGCTGGGAGGGTGATTCCTCCTGACTCTATGGGGAGACAACACAGAAGTTTCAAGTTTGGGGCCCTCCCAGACCTCACCCTATGCATCTCTTCTTTTGGCTGCTCAGGATTTGTATTATTTTTGTCATAATAAAACTGAAATTTTAATATATTTTTTTAAGTATTGGTGGGGAGATGAGGAGATAGAAATATGCAATAGGTGAAGCTGTGAATACCTGGCATTTTCCATTTCTAGGCCTCAATCTTCAATAAAAACATACAATATAATAAAGACACACACATATATAAATAAAACCATGCACAGAAGCGTTCATTGTGTCAGTGTAATACTAAAAAGCTGAAGCAACTCTCAGAAGTATAATGGATATATAAACTGCAATCTGTCCCTTCAAGGAAACTATCATATGAAAGACAAAATGAATGAACTTGATATATCAACACTTACTCTGTACTCCAAGTTAAATGTCTCTAGCTATTTCTAGACCATACTTTGAATTCCTACCTTTAGTGCCAGTGCTCATGACTGTTGTCCTTTCCCTCACTTTTAGCTCAATAATCTTAATGAGATAATTTACATGCAGCTTCCTCTTAAAACATTCCTGGGTCCTTTTATTTATTTATTTATTTATTTATTTAATTTATTTTTTTTAAGATTTTATTTATTTGCGAGAGAGAGAATAAGAGACAGAGAACATGAGAGAGAGGAGGGTCAGAGGGAGAAGCAGACTCCCCGCTGAGCAGGGAGCCTGATGCGGGACTCGATCCTGGGACTCCAGGATCATGACCTGAGCCGAAGGCAGTTGCTTAACCAACTGAGCCACCCAGGCGCCCTCCTGGGTCCTTTTAATTCCGACGTTACAGATGAGAAACCAAAGACCCAAAAAGGTTGAGTCATGCTAAGTTCACATGGCAGATGACTGGTAGAATTAGAACGGGAACCCTGGCCTTCTGACTCCTTGTATGATGTAAGGCTACAGATAATCTCAGAGAATGGCAAATACAGAATTTATCCCACCTCTCAGCATGGGGGCACTCTGTCCTCACACAACCTCAGATCGCGTGGCCTCAGCTGCTACCACCCCCTCTGGCTGGTGAAGTGTTTGGATCTGACTTTACCAATAACGTTCCATGTGACTCAGTAAGTCAAAATCTGAGTCTCAGTTTTGTGGTTTGGTTGATGCCAATAATCACATGAGCTGCCTGGCTATCACATGAGCTCATTAATAGAACCAAGTGAAATAAAAGATAAGGAAATACAAGTATATGAAGGGAGAAATTAACTTTTTATTATTCTCAGGATGCAAAAATGCCTGCCCTCTGGCTAAAAGGAGCATGGGATGTCCAATTTGTAAAAAAAAAAAAAAACTGACGTGGAGAGTTTTGCCATTGCAGATAAACGAAGCATGGTGGTAGAGTGGGGGGTGCTGGCCCTCATACCAGAAGCAGCACTCTGGAAGCTCTGCTCCCTTCTCCTGCCTCCTCCTGCTTATAGCCTCTGTGCCACTGAGTTCTCTGGCACGGGAACACTAGCAGGCAGTCTGGGGTCCCTTGAGACAGGGCTGGCCAACCCTGACAAAATATTGAAGTTAGCCAAGTTGGTCTTCTACATTTCTTCCCTGTGCCTTTTCTCCTGGTCTAGCCTTTGTTATATCTTTCCTGAGTTACTGAAGGAGGTGTTCTATACAACCAACTCCCCCTCTCCCAACCACTGTTAGGCTTCCCACTATTTAAGACCTGTAAGGACCCTGAGGTTAGGAACTGTGTTTCTGGCCCCCTCTTGGCAGAGAGTCCATACTCAACAAATGTCAAACTGAGCCTGTCTTCCTCCTTAACCTGCCTGTCTTCCTCCTTAACCCGAAACTCTGTGCTGAGTTGAGCTTCCTGCTCACAAGGAAATGTCTGATAGGTCCCTTCCCACAGACTCCTAGGGACTGTTGCCTTGTCTTCCCCTCCTAGGCTAGCTGCTTTTTCCTATAGGCCATGGGAAGTGATAATAAACCCTAGGGGGATGGTCACATACGGAATGGAGAAAGGAATAACGACTGGGAATGTTTGTGCTGGGGGACTCTGCTCCCTGCCCTGACTCCTCTGTTGTAGACCAGAGGTTTCACACCATGTTCCCCATCACGGGCAGGCAGGTAGCCTGGGGTTCCCCATGGACAGGGCTCGTGCTGATAAAGGCTTTGAAGTTGAGCAGGTTATACTCTCTCTCTTTTCTCATTTTTGAAAATAGAGAAATATGTCCTATTCTCTTGCTTCACAATGTTGTTAAGAATTAAATGTGAATTAATTAATGAGGCATTAAAGATTAAATGTGAAAATCAGTAAGAAGAGAAGCGAGACAGGCAAGACAACTTCAGAGCCAGGCCGGTTCGCCAAGCTCCTCCGCCCGTGATGGACTTCCTTTCACCTGGACCAGAGACATGAGGACCAAACACAGGAGGCCCTGCCCTTCTGAGTGAGCTTTCATCTACATAGGACTGTTTTCTCTGCCAAATAGACCAAAAGGAAGGAAAGCCAGCAAGATGAGTTCTTTTCTTAGCTCCTAAATGGCTGACATTTCAGGAAACCAAAATTCTGAATGGGACCAGAGGGGATTTCAATTCATCCTGCCTGTCTACAGGCAGAGTCAGGCTTACACAAGGACTCTGTTACACAGCGTGTACTTTCAGAGGTACTTTCAGGGGATGCCCTTGTCCAAAAATCTCTTCCAAACTTATTTGCTCATGCTTGAAAATCCATCATTACAGCTTTATTTCTTTGGCAGAATCCAAATGTAGGTTTTGTCTTCTGTACAATTGCCCAAATCACACATATAAAATCCTTATCAGTCACCTCAGTGTGAATGGAATACATTGGTCCTTTCCTGAGAACAGGCTTGAATGGAAAGGAGAGGACAAGAACATTGCAGGCAGCAGCCCTTACGGCCAGGAGAGGGAAGATGGGAAGGTGTAGAAGAGAAAGGATGTAGAAGGAGGTAGAGCTGGTAAACTTTCCACCTGGAAAGTTAGGTATAGCCTCCAAAATACACAGAAAATCTACATGTTAAAAAAAAAAAAAAAGCCAGACCCCCCCCACCCTTCACCACCACCCCCCCACCAAAAGATCACATTCTATGATTACATTTATATCTAGCAAATGTAAACTAATCTATAATGACTGAAAACAGATCTGTGGTTGCCTGGGAAGTGTTGGGGGTAGGTAAGAGGGAGAAATGACAAGGGGCATAGGGAAACACTGGGAGGTGATCGATATCTTGATTATGATGATGGTTTCAGGAGTGTATAGATGGGCCCAAACTTATCAAATCATACACATTAAGTATGTGCAGTTTACTGATTGCATTTCAGTTATACTGCAATAACATTTTTTGGAAAAGAGTGAAAAAAAAAAACAACCAAAAAACTATGTGAGTACTGTATGCCTGCCAAATAATCCATCTCACATACCTCTGGTAAATTCTGGCAGAAACAAGTGTTTTCCAAGAGCACACCTCATCTCTCTGAGAATCAGGTACTCTCTCCATAAACTGATAAAGATGAACTAGACAATCCCAAGGTCCTATCCAGATATCACAGTCTCGATTATAAGGGTCAAATATATAAACCAATAGAAAACCATTATTAAAGCCTAAAGGATTTGATACAAATACAAGGCAGGAATTATTAAATAATCAACATATACAGAGATATTGGGCAAAAATAATGGATTAAATACATGCATCTAATTTCACTATATCTAAAACTCCATAAAGAGGGATTTTTCCCCCCAAGGGCAAAGTCTCCAATGCGAACTCTTAGAAAGAAAAATTATGACATCAGAAATGAAAACCTTAATGAAAGGATTAGAAGACAGATTGAGGAAATTTCCCAGAAAGTAGAGCAAAAAGACAGGGATAGAAACTAGGAAAGAACAGATAAGAAATTCATCTGAACAGTTGAATCACAGGAGTTTTAGAAACACAACAGATACAAATTAATTCAAGAAAACACTCCAGAATCAAAGGTCATGAGTTTTCAGATTGAAAGGGCCACTGAGGGCCAGCACAATAGGTATGTCACTGTGAAATTTCTTAACACGGGGGACAAAGAAATCCTACAAGGTCACATGCGAAAAGGGCTTTGGCCTCAACCACAGCCCTGGAAGCTAGAAGACAATGGAGCCAGGCTATCAACGTTCTGAGGCAGTCGGACACACACGATTTCAAAAAATTTCCCTCTCATGAACTCTCAGGAAGTTGTAGAAAATATGTCATCAAAAAGAGGGAAGAAAGCAGGAAATGAGAAGACACAAGATCCAGAAACAGGTGATCCAACACAGGAAAGAGGCAAGGGAATTCCCCAGATGGTAGTAAAGGAAGGTTCCAGGGTGGCAGCTGTGCGGTCTCCCCCCACTCGGAGCAGGAGAGAAGCCTCCAAGAGACCTTCTCAAGAACAAACTGAGAAGACACCGGGGTAACTGGCAGAGTTTAAGGTTAATTAGTGATAAGATCTTAGAAACTTACGTGTATGAAAAAACAAAATAATCAAACAAGAAGATAACGTTGTGAAAGAGAAACAGTCATGGTTGACTATGTGGCTCAGCTGTGAGTGGCATTACATTGTCCTAATAACAAGGGCACTAATTATTGATCTACCAAAAATTACCATATAACTATATAGAGAGTAAGGGGGTCTGGGAAGCGTGCATGTACGTAAAAGGGGGGAGCGGAGAAAAGGGAGCTGAATCCTCACCTCCCCCATTGTGGTAAGTCAACAGATAACGCCTGAACTGAAAAATCAGGAAGTAGCACACAAACATGTTATTTATAGATAGGTAAAAGAATTACTTAAACAAGTTGAAAATGGTCCCTCTAGGGAAAGGGAAATGGGGGGAGGGGAGTAGGTAGAGAGAGGCTGAGGACTGCTCTTTGTCTTAATTAACCTTGTAGAACTGGTTGACTTTTTAAATTATGTGCCTGGTATAACGTTGATAAAATTTAAAAAATAATTTAAAAATGAGTGTGGTGAATGAGTAGTGTGACATTAACACTTACTGAGGGTCTACAGAGCCAGCAGGTGTCTCACATCTATGTGCTAACCTGCTGGTGCCAGGTTTGCTGAGCTGCTGCAGGTCATGCGAAACACATGTGTGAAGGTGCTTCCATTAGGGAGGTAGCATGGGGGCTAATCCCACACCTGTGCTTACTGCTGCCTCGATGACTTAGTTGCTTAGCCTAACTCTCAGCGTCTCAACTTGGGCAATCCTGTGAGGGTTTTGTGAATAAATGTCTATAGAATGCCGAGTGCGCAGGGCCTAGATCTACAGCCAGCTGCTTCAGGTCCTAATTTGGAGAAGAGCAAGGGATAGAGATGTAGTGAGTGGGACAGAAAACTATGCGCTCTGCTAAGTGACAGACTCTGGGGCTGGCAGCATGAAAAGCACAAGAAGGCAGTCCTGCTTCTGGGTTGGTTCATACCCAGAGCATCAGACTTTGATTCTTAGACACTTGTGTCTTAAATTTCAGTGAAAACTGGAAAGTTTCTGCTTCTGGAGTTTGAAATGGAGACTCCACGGGGGAAGTTTCTGAGACTGAGTCCTGTTGTCAACTACCACCCTGAGGGGCGGCACAGCATGGGGCCAGATCTCAATACAAGGTATTGTGTGGAAGAAAAACACCCTAAACTAGAAATGAAAAGACTCAGCTTACTAGATCCCCCTCTGACACTTAACTGCTTTGTGACCCTGGAGAGTTTACTCACCCTCACGGCTCACTTTTCTCTTTCCTTAAAGGACTTGACTCCATGATCTCCAGGGTCCGTTCCTAGCAGGTAAGACAGTAAACTCCCTGAGGCCAGGGACCGTGTCTGTCTTGTTCTTTGTTGGCTGTATATTGCATTCCGTAAACCTGCTATGGTCCCAAATGTGTAAGGGGTGAGGAGGAGAAGAACCTTTTGAGGGGGGTTTTTTCCTTTCTTATTTTTCATTCTTTCGTGTTTTCTCTGCTGTTGTTGTTTTCTGTTGGCAGGACGCATCCAAAGATCCAAATTTGTATTAAAAAGGAATGAAAAAAGGGGGAAAAAAAGTACCTAGCATAGTGCCTAGTACATAGCAGGTATTCAATACCTATTTGTTGAATGAGTGAAATGGAAGATAAAGACAGTTCATTAGGCTCTTCAAACCAGAAAATGACCCCAGTCAATGAAATTAACTACAGATGAAGAAACAAAAGCCTAGTGAAAAGGAAAAAAAGTCTTTGTGGTCACCCCAGCTAAACAGGAATGGAACTGGCCTCAAGTCCCAACACTGTGGAAGCTCAATAGATGGTAGGTCAACACAGATTAGACAGGGAAGGGAAGGAGCCACATCTCAAAATACTTAGAGGAAAACATCAGTGTAACAAGATACTATTCTGGGGGTGCCTGGGTGGCTCAGATGGTTAAGCGTCTGCCTTCGGCACAGGTCATGGTCCCAGGGTCCGGGGATCGTGCCCCGCATCGGGCTCCTGACTCAGCGGGGAGCCTGCTTCTCCCTCTCCCCCTGCTCATGCTCTATCTCTGTGTCTCAAATGAATAAATAAAAGCTTTAAAAAAAAAAAGATACTATTCTGAACAAACTGGTAAAGTCTGGCAGTGGAGTAAGACAAAGTAAAAAGAGCACATAGCATTTGGTTCAAGTTCCACCTCTGTTACTTGCCTGTGTGATTTTAGGCTGGCTACCTAATCTCTGAGGCTGTTTCTTTTTCTAAAAAGCAGGGATAATAATAGCATCTACTTCACAGAATTTTGGTTAGAATGGAAGTAAGTTAGATGTGGTATGTGAAGAAAATGTTTTGCAAGCTATAAAATATAGATTGTTAATCTGTTTGGCTAGGATCCCCCCTAAGTAATCTCTCACTAACAAATCAACGTGGTCATTAACAATAGGGTTGTTTTTTTTTCCAGCCATCTAGTTGTCACTTTGAAAATCAATGGAAGGACCGACCTTGAAAGGTAGGTAAATTTTGATGGAGGAGGGCAGGAGGAAGAAGATGTGGGCAGTTAGAATCTAGGCAGGGATGCTTCATGGGCTGCTCCTGAGTGGTCAAGAGCAGATAACTCCAAGGCTGAACGTAAAGAAGACTGGCGCAGGAGCCAGAAACCGGATTCTAGACTTTGTGATTGGCAGAATCTGTGAACCCTCTCATCCCGGTGGTTTCCAATTCTGTAGAGGAGAGGTAACCGCCACCTCTGCTTTCTTGGAGGTAACTGTAATGTCACATGAGACAGCGGATGTGAAGAATTTTTAAGAATTATTGATCACCATCTCTACAAATGAGAGAATATCATTCCTTTAGAAGAGATGGATGAGGTGATGGGAAGCACATGTATAATAAACCTTGCCTACTGTCATGGACGGAATTGTGTCCCCCACCCCGATTCTTATAATGAAGTCCTAACCCCCAGTGGGACTGTGTTTGGAGACAGGGCCTTTAAAGAGGTGATTAAGATTAAATGAGGTCATAAGAGTAAAGCCTTAATCCAATAGGACTGTGTCCTTATACCACGAGGAAGAGACACCAGGGGATGTGGGCTCACAGAGAAAAGGCCATGGGAGCACACAGCAAGAAGGTGGCCATCTGCAAAGCCAAGGAGAGAAGAGGTAGGAGAAACCAAACCTGCTGACACTTTGATCTTGGACTTCCAGCCTCCAGAACTGTGAGAAATAAATTTCTGCTTTTTAAGCCCCCTGCTCTGTGGTATTTTATTACAGCAGCTCTAGCAAACTAGTACACTCACCTAACAGCTCTGCTTCCCCAGAACAAATTCTCCCTTCATACTGAAGGATAATGTACAAAAATGGTTCCTAGAGGCACTCTGGCCAGCCAGCAAAGGGAGGAGGCCGTGTGGCTGGTGGTTAGGACTGGGTGTTAGAAGCTTGTCCTGTCTAGTTAATGGATTATGCTTGAATGGCTGAGTGAATGGAAACCAGCTTTGTCTGCTCTTAGACACTAAGTTTGTTTTCTTTTGCCTATATACCAAGATTCTGAAGCTCAACAGAATGATAAACTGTTTAAAGAGCTTTTAGTACAAGGGAAAGATGTAGGCCCATGAGTAAAGCTTAACTTTACTCTTTGTGATGTGCTAGGTAATTTGAATAATGATACCTTAGAAATAGGAGACAAAGTTTAAATCTTGGTTGGGAGCTCCAAGAGTAATTATGTGGGCTTCTTTTGAGGTTGAATTCTGTCAGAATTAAAAAGACAAATCTGGCAATTCTGCATTACTCCCTACACATTAACTTCATAGGTTTATTCATTCAACAGATTTTCTTGATCACTTACTACATGCCAATTTCTATTCTAAATCATACAGTTGAATGGGGGAAATATAGACAAGAGCCTGAGGATAAAAATAAATTCTATGGCCTGACATTTAAAAATCCAGTTCAGTCTGGGCCCTGACAACCTCTTCAGTTACCTTCTACAACTCCTATTCAAATGCCTTTCTCCAAACAAATCATCCCAGTGAAACCTTTCTAAACTTTGTACTTTCACTCTTGTTCCCTACCTGGATTGCTTTCTATACCTTATTTTAATCCTATCCATCCAGCAAAGTGTGGTAGTTAGCCACCCAGGGGAAGCCAGTACCAAGTCTTTTTTTTTTTTTTTAAAGATTTTATTTATTTATTTGAGACAGAGAGAATGAGAGACAGAGAGCATGAGAGGGAGGAGGGTCGGAGGGAGAAGCAGACTCCCCGCCGAGCAGGGAGCCCGATGCGGGACTCGATCCCGGGACTCCAGGATCATGACCTGAGCCGAAGGCAGTCGCTCAACCAACTGAGCCACCCAGGCGCCCGCCAGTACCAAGTCTTAAAGCAGCTCTGTGGAGAGGCCTGTGTTATGAGGGACTGAGGCCTGCCAATGACCACTTCAGTGGGCTTGAAACTGTTTTCTCCTCTACCCTCCCTATTCAGCCTTGGAGCTTAACTGCAACCTCATGAGAAACCTTGAGCCAGAGGAGCCCAGCTAAGCTGTACCTAGATTCTTAACCCATGAAAACTGTGAGATAATAAATATTTATCATTTTAAGCCACTAAGTTTGAAGGTAATTTGTTACTCAGCTGTAGACAACTAATACAGAAAGTGGGGTAATTTGTTATATAGCAGTAGATAACTATACACAAGCCTTGGTTCAAATTGCTTCCCTGAATTGGCTTTGACCTTGCCTAGCCCAGAGAAGCTTCTGCCTTCTTTGAATTTGATGTAGAACTGTTGATCTCATTGATCATTTCATACTTTTGCAACATTAGCTATCTTCTATCCTTTGTTTCTAGTCCTTTCCAAATAACCTAAAGTCAGTAGCTGCTTAAATTACTCGCTCAGAGTTAAGTATTGGCAAGGTGGAGAAAGGTTTGGAGAAGCTAGAATTTTGTATGAGAAAGGAGGTTTAGTTCATTTCTGGTGGCTGACTGATAAACATCTTGTAGGTGGGAAGATGAAGTAGAAGTTAGAAGAGGAACCACAGCTTGGGAAGAACTAATTTTTGGTCTTCATCAAAGTGAGGCATCAGCAGCCAATACTAACAGCCAATTCTCCTTGTAAATTCTTTCTAGTGATTTCCTTCTTATTGTGTGAGGAGCTTAGCCTTCTGTTGGCAGTTGTAAGAGGTAACCAAGGGTGGCTCTGGGGCACTGGGGTCACTTCAGAGAAGGGAAGCCAATTGTTTTCTCAGGGCCACTCTCTCACGTTTATTCTTTTCAGGGCCTCTGTAGCAGGACTGTGCTGAAACCCATTTCCTACACGTAGCACCATTTATTTAAAACACACAGCACATATACACAAAAAATCAAATGCAAAGGAAAAGAGGGGGGAAAGGCTGCTGAAGACCAGAGTCACTAAAAGTTCAGGCTAAGAATAGACAAGGAACTCTGAGAGCTGCTTGGCTATGTGACCTCCTGCAGGGGCTTGGCAATAAGCCCAATTCAGCTTTGTTTTTTCTATGCCTTTACAAAGAAAGAGCACTAGCTTGGGAGTCAGGAGACCTGGGTTCTAGGCCTGGCTCTGCCAGTGCTGCCTTCTATGAACTTGGGTGAGTCCTTCCCCTTTCTAGGCCTCAGTTTCCCATTTGTAAGATGAAAGGGTTAGGCTAGACTCCAAGATATTCCAACTCCAATACACAGAGAACACAAAGGAAAGTAAAAAGAATGCTGGCTGGCCTGGGAACTAGGAGACCTGACTTCTTACCCCAGCTTTGTCATTAAGAACCACACCTCTTTGGGCCTCTATTTCCTCATTCATAAAACAAAGTGATATATTCATTCATTCATTCTTTCCACAAATATTTCTTGAATACCTGAATACCGTGCTTGGTGCTGGAGATATGATGGTGAGCCAAGACAGACATGGTCTCTGTTCTTGTGAAATTTCCAGTCTATTGGGGGTGGAGGAAAGAAGGAGAAGATTAACTGTAAGCAGTCACGTAAATGAGGGTGTTATTAATGTCAAGATAAGTGTGACAAAAGAAGGATCATACTTGGCTCTCAGTGACTGGGGGATGGGATAGTCACAACTTCCATCAATTTCAATGTCCTGTGATCCAATAGGCATCTCTGCCAGGAGGTGAAGAGAAACCCTTTGAAAAACTTACATCTCAAAAAACAAAACAGACAACTTACATCTCATACCATAGCTATTTTTCAACTCAATTAACCCAATCAACCATCTATTGTGTACCTACTACAAGGAATCAACCTCCCAATTCCTGTCTTGCTGGAGCTTACACTAGTGGGCAGAATGGATTCATAAATTGACATAGCTATGAAATGTCTCACATCATTCTCTGATTGCTACTTATGTGCTTTAAATAATAATATTTATAAGAGTTAAGAATCGAGTAGGGACTTGGATGTGCTAGGGCAATCAGAGACATTTTCTTGGAAGTAAAAATTGAGATAGGTCCTGAAGGTTTGCTACAAGGTTTCAGATAAACAGAAACAATGATATCGGGGTACAATGGCCCCATTCCCTACTAGTAGGCAGTATAAGTACATGGGACATAGAAGAACAACCTAAATCCCCTTTTGCGCAGGAGGCATCCAAGCCTCACTCTTTGTCAAGGGGCAAGAGACCTCTTCTGTGACCTACTCTGAACAGTATCTCGTAGATCAGGAGGCCTGCTTCTGATGGACATCCTGACTTGGGGTGGCTACCTTACCCCTGTGAGTCTGTTATCTCATACGTAAAATGAAGGTATTAGATGATATCCAACACCCCTTACTGACTAAAACCTGATTCTTTATAAGAATTTCTATTCTCTTATAATTACACTGGTGGTTGCTGCCATGGAATATGAGCTATGGGATCTTAGACAAGTTAATAAATTTTCTAAACCTGATTTAATTTCTTTTTGAAATTAATTTTTCAAATAAAAAAGTAATACATGCACAAGACTTTTAAAAGTCAAATACTACAGGGGTGCCTGGGTGACTCAGTCGTTAAGCGTCTGACTTCAGCTCAGGTCATGATCCCAGGGTCCTGGGATCGAGCCCCGCACTGGGCTCCCTGCTCTGCGGGAGGCCTGCTTCTCCCTCTCCCACTCCCCCTGCTTGTGTTCCCTCTCTCGCTGTGTCTCTCTCTGTCAAATAAATAAATAAAATCTTTTTTTTTTTAAGATTTTATTTATTTATTTGAGAGAGAGAGAGCGAGTACATGAGAGGGGGGAGGGTCAGAGGGAGAAGCAGACTCCCTGCCGAGCAGGGAGCCCGATGCGGGACTCGATCCCGGGACTCCAGGATCATGACCCGAGCCGAAGGCAGTCGCTTAACCAACTGAGCCACCCAGGCACCCAAATAAATAAAATCTTAAAAAAAAAAAAAGTCAAATACTACAGGGGCGCCTGGGTGGCTCAGTCGGTTAAGTGTCCAACTCTTGATTTCGGCTCAGATCATGATTTCAGGGTTATGAGACTGAGCCCTGCATTGGGCTCTGCTCTGGGCCTGCTTAAGATTCTCTCTCTCCCTCTGCCCTCCCCTCCCCTGTCTCCCTCTTTTAAAAAAAAAATCAAATACTATAAAAGACTATTATAATGATTACAGAGTTTCTGTCTGGGGAATAAAAAAGTTTTGGAGATAGATAGGGGTAATGGTTGCACAACCTTGTGAATGTAATTAATGCTGCTGAATATATGCTTAAAAATGGTTAAAATGGCAAATTTTATATTATACATATTTTGTCACAATTTTAAAAAATTAATAATGCGATACAGCAAAACCACTGAATTAAACAATTTAAGTGGCTGAATTGTATGATATGTGAACTGTATCTCAATAAAACTACTAAAAAGGAAAACTTAAAAAACAAGAGTGTACCGTAAGTGTATATTCTCCATCCTAACCCAGAACCTCTGGCCACCCCCACAGGCAGCTATTTATTTCTTGTTTCTCCTTCTAGAAACAGTCAGGCATAAACAAGAATATATGAAAATCTGTCATAGCTTTTTTTCTTTTTTTTTTAAGATTTTATTTATTTATTTGACAGAGAGAGACACAGCAAGAGAGGGAACACAACCAGGGGGAGTGGGAGAGGGAGAAGCAGGCTTCCTGCCGAGCAGGGAGCCCAATGCGGGGCTCGATCCCAGGGCCCTGGGACCATGACCTGAGCCGAAGGCAGATGCTTAACGACTGAGCCACCCAGGCGCCCCTCTTTTTCTTTTAATTCAAATGAAGGAAGTCATATTCTGTTCTGAACTCTCCCAATTCACTTAATAATATTTCTCATGTTGTTGCATATCAGCACATGCAGATCTACTTTATTCTTTTTTGCTCCTGCATAGAATTCCACTGTAGGGACCTACCACAATTTATTTAATGAGTTCCTTTACTGATAAACATTTTGATTGTTTTTAGTCCTTTTAATACAGCAAAAAGTGTTGCAGTAAACATCCTTGCACTAATGACTTTAAGCACATGCCTGATGATATCATCTACAGGATAAATTCCTAGTTCTGGTATCGCAGTGTCAACATATCAAATATGTGCATTAAATATTAACATTGCTAAGTTGATTTCTCTAGAGTCTATATCAATTTATACTCCTACCAACAATTCATTCATTCAACTAATATTTGAGTGCCTACCATGTGCCAGGCAGTATTCTAAGCCCTGGAAACACATCAAATGAACAACAACAAGAACATAAAGACAAAATCCATTCCCTAATGGAGCTTATAAGTCTTGTCTGGGGAAAAGGCAAACAAAAAAGTAAAATATGTAGTATTTCAGGTAGTAAGAAGTGCTATGTCTAAAATAAAGCAGAGAAAGGAGTGTTGGCCAGGGGTGGGGACTGGTGATTTAAATAGGTGGTTAGGGAATGAGAATTCTAAGCCTCACTTTCCTTATCTGTAAGATGGGACAATAACAGTACCTATTTCATAGGACACTACTGAAAGAATGCTATGAGATTATATCTAGTACATAGTAATGAACATTTCCTAGATGGAAGCTATTGTTATTATAAACAAACTTATAGTTAGGAAAATCTGTGGCCTAGGGAAGAATAATTTGCCAACAGCCCCAGGGAAAATTGTGGTTGGGTAAGTACCAGAACCCAAGCCTCCTGACCGCTCATGCAGTGCACTTCCAAATATACCAAGGGACCAAAAGCACTAAGAAGCCATCCTCCCAGGGCTGCTAATGGGCAACATAGTTTTAAGTTGAAGAGCTCTCTGAGAATGTGATTTTT